GATCTGGCAATGAGCACACGGATGCGATTTCCAACTTGCAGTGTCATTAAACGGGAACAAAGTTAGGAGCAAGTGCTTAGTCTAGCAACTGGGAAGCCATTGTCCCACACAGGAGGGCTTGGGTTGGAGTCCTCAGATCTGGCTCCTGAGTGCAGCTTCCTGCCAATCCAGAATTTAAGAGACAGTAATGATGACTCAATTGGAGGAGTCTTGTAACCCACCTGCGACACCTAGATTGTGTCCCTACCTCCTGGTTTCAGCCTCGTTCCGGCCTTGGATGTGGAAGTATATGAGGAATGAACCAATGAGCACAAACATGCACACACTCAGTCTCTCAAAAAAAAACCAAACCAAAACAAAACAAAACAAAGAATTTTCAGATTTTGGAGTATTTTAGACATCCAGACTAGGGATGACCAACCTGTATTAACTCTCAATTAGTTACAAAAAAAAAAAAAAAAAAAAAAAAGAAGAAGAAGAAGAAAAGAAAAAAAATTTAGCATAATGGATAAATTCTTTCCTTGCATATGTCAGGATCCCATATGGGCACCAGTTCATACCCTAGCTGCTCCACTTCCCATCCAGCTCCCTGCTTGTGGCCTGGGAAAGCAGTCAAGGACGGCCCAAAGCTTTGGGACTCTGCACCCGCATGGGAGACCCGTAACCTAGCTCTTGACTTTGGATTGGCTCCGCTCTGGCTGTTTGCAGCCAACTGGGGAGTGAACCAGTAGACAGAAGATCTTTCTGTATCTCCTTCTCTCTGTATATTTGCCTTTCCAATAAATATAAATCTTTGTAAAAAAAAAAAAAACAAAAAAATAAAATCACATATTACTATATGGCTCAGCTTTGAAAAACATACAGTTATACTGTAAATGCTGATAGCAACTGACGCAAATCTCAAGACAGCTATGTGTCAACAAAATGGGAGCATGGGTTATATGCACACAGGTGAATGGCAGAGTGAGGATAAAATAGTATTAAAAATTCAGAGAACCTAGAGCTAAGGGAAGTTCATATCAAAACACTGATCTAAATGAGGCAAAAGAGATTGCCTCTGTGGAATAAGAAATTGGGGTCAGCCTCTGTGTTGGGAGTGTAAAGGCTGGGGACTGGGTTTTCTAAAGTGCAACACTAGGTGACTCTTTAAATCATGCCTTTATAACCCTGAAAAAAATTAAAACATGAAAGAATGAATATATGAGAATCTATTTTGAGATAATATGATTTCCTAAAGCACATACATCTCTGTGAAAAAGCAGCTGTGCAAATTCTACAGCTCCAATGCAAATATTAGGAGCTTCATCTAGTTCATCCAGATGAACACACGCAAGGTCCCAACTCCACTGCAGACACTGACTGAAAGAAACACTCTCTTGCCAGACGCCAAGTTGGAGGAAGTATATCAGGAAAAAAATATATTTTTTAAGATTTATTTTATTTTTATTGCGAAGTCAGATATACAGAGAGGAGGAGAGACAGAGAGGAAGATCTTCTGTCCAAAGGTTCACTCCCCAAGCAGTCATAACAGCCAGAGCTGAGCCAATCCAAAACCTGGAGCCTCTTCCTGGTCTCTAACTCGAGTGCAAGGTCCCAAGGCTTTGGGCCGTCCGTGACTGCTTTCCCAGGCCACAGGCAAGGAGCTGAATGGGAAGTGGGGCTGCCGGGATTCGAACTGATGCCAATATGGGATCCTGGCACACGCAAGGAGAGGACTTCAGGTGCTAGGCTACTGCGCTAGGCCTGGGAAAATGTTTCTAAGCAACTAATTAGAGTCATTTAAACTTATGTAGAAAAAAAAAAACTTACAGACATTTGCTAAAAACTTTGTTCTGGGGGAAATCTCTTTTTTAGGAAAACAGTTATATGCTTTAAGTAAACTCAGGGGAGGTTCCCAATGGAGGCAAATTTAACTTTATATAATATTTACAAGCTGGATTCACAAAAGCTTTTACAACCAACATCAGAACAGAAGAATTTCCTTAGGCTCAAAATTCTGCTAACTATTTAATATGTTTCTCTGATGCACACATTTTTTATTTTTATTTTCATGATTTTACATTTTAAGATGGAATGGTATCTTAAAAATTTCTAAACAGATATAACCTTTATAGTCTTCACACAGAGTAGAAGACAGTAAGTAGTTTAAGTGAGTATCTTACAGTTTTTTCAAGTAAGTTTATAATTTTGGCAGCTCGGCTTGATATATCTGTTCTACACACTGATTTCAAATTAGCCAATATAATAAAAACCTCACAGAACATTTACAATGTCATTTTCTCTACTAATAATTTGTAAAAATCTGCTTTATAGTCTAGAGTACTGGAAAAGCACTAATTTTCATATTCAGGGTCTTCAACCTAAACATTATTCAAATACTGTATTCCCTCCAATAGCCAGCACCAGGTCAGCTGAAGTCAGGAACTGACAACCCAATCCATGTCCCTCACATGGGCGGTAAGGGACCCAAATACTGAGTCACCACCTGCTGCCCCCAATGTGTGTATGAGGAGGAAGCGGAAGTCTGAAGTGAAGCTGGGACTAGGACCCAGGGATTCAAATATGGAATGTGGGCATCCTGTGTGGTGTCTCAACAGCTAAGCTGAATATATGCCCCTTACAAAGGTAACGTTTAAATGCTAGATCAATCTTTGCCCAGATTTATCTGAATCTACACTGCCCAAGTTTACTGGACTTTTGATTCTTCTTCTTTTTCATATGGAGACAAAGGCAGTCAAAAACTAAGATCTAAAATAACCTATCCATTTGCAGGCCTGCCACCTGCAGCTGGCCTCAGCATAGAAATGCATAAAGGAAAAAAAAACACACACACACATCCATTTTAAACTAGCCATTGATTTCAATTTCCACAGGCAGACATGAGATAGTGCTGCTCAGAGGGAAAAAGCTTTTCTCTTTGTAAGTTTTTGCTTATCTTTTCCATTGGGACTTAATGAGAAAATAGCCATAATTATGACATACCTGAAAGACAAGAATACATGGGGAAAAACTTGGGAGAACTAGTAATCGACTACAGATGTAAAATTTTTAACATCGGGCTTGTGAAAATTAAAACTTGCTGGTCCTAATATCCTACCAACAATTTTCAGAGACAGGAATGAGCTCAGAACAACTTTGCTTATGACAGTTCCTATTTGGGATCTAGCAAAATGGCAGTATGAACAGGAAAACAAATGGACATTCAATTGCTTGCTGTTTCTCTTTAAGAGCAGAAAATGTGTCCTGGTTTCTGTGACCCAAATTCCTTTTGCTACTTCTGCAGCCAAGCATTCCTTCATGCATGCTGACTGTCCTCAAATATTGGGCTTCAGGCTCAATGGACCAATGGGAGGTTAAACTTCAATGAAAAGGAAACAGATGTAGATCTGGCTAGTTTAGAAGTCTGTGCTGGAAAAGCCCCTTAGTATATTACTTTCATCATAGTAAGAGCCAATTCCATCTGCATAGTGATTCTTGTTTTATTCTTTAAGTCTGAGCCAAGTTACATTGTGACTCACTCATTTACACTCTAAATCCTTACTCCCTATGCTGAAAAGAGAAGAGAAGTAGTCAAATGTCGTGGCAACAGGGCAGTTAAGCAAACTGGCAAACAGGCTTGGTATTTAAAGAACTGAAAATTGTTTAGTTTTTTTTTATCTCTAAGTTACTTTACTGTTGATGTTTCACTCATCAGCACTAGTACCCCTTACTGATATTTCTAGAAGAATAATAGGATACCACCTGTCTTGACTGGAAAGCAGAAAACTGTTATTTTCCTGTTGTGATGTTACACCTTTTTCACAGTCACATCTGAACCGGGTTGTCATCCAAGTTTTGTGGGGAACCGAGGCGCACCATTGTCCTCTCTGCTGTCTTCTGATGGCCCTTTGTGGTACAATTTTTCCTTCTTTTTTAGGTCTGGGTAAATTGTAGGCTCATTTTCACTAAAGAGTTTCTATTGTTTATAGAGTCCTTAAAGTTTACAGTGGATGCTAAAGAGCTGCTCTGCCTTTGTTGGTCAGGGGTACCCTAGGCTTCACCAGTCCTCAATTTCCTGAGTTAAGAGATTGCAGTTACTGCATCTGTAGAGATAGCTGGGACTACATCTTCAGGCAAGGCACAGATCGGGCCTTGGGTTTCCACGAGAGGTCATACAGTATTAAGAAACTTTCTTGTCACTTTTCTGGGATAGCAGGGATAGTTCCCTAGTTCCTTTATCACTGAAGAAATTGCAGGGATCAGTTAGATCTCCGTATCTTCGGCTGGCCCAAGGCTGTCAATTCTGTCTTTGTGAGCATTAAACTACATCCTCTAGGACTCCATCTGAACTAATAATCCATTGGGTTTGCTACAGGTTCAGGTTATGAGCTTTCCAGTCTGCTTTCACGTTGCTTGAACCCCAGACAATTTACATTCAAAAAGAAATTCAAAATAGATAAAAATTGAACAAAATTCCCAATTAGTATACAAAATTAGAAAAAAAAAATCAGTATTTTTAAGATCAAGAGGCTCTTGAAGACCTGACAAAGTGGTCCTTAGCTCCTCTGCAAGGCACTATACTCATGGTCCCCTTCCCATGACCAACTGTAAAGTTCAGCAGGAGAATAGAGGCCATGATATGAACGTGATTTGTCTCCCAAGGTTTCATGTGTTTCATTCTTGATACTTAGTGTGGCAGCAGTTAGATGATTGAGGGTATTACCTTCATAAGAGATTAAGGTAGGTCGCATGAGCCTTTGTTCATTGCTTAGGACTGGTCCCTCCTCACTCTTTCTGTCTTGCCATGTGATCTCTCTTCTGACAAATGCTCCTTCCACAATACTACCTGTCATGTGATGCAGCCAAGAGAGCCCTCCGTACAGGGGAACATATCACAATGCTGCTGAACTTCCAAAACTATGAGCTTGAAGAACATGTCTCAAATACTGTGTCACAGCAATGGAAAATAAAAAACTGGCCCAGTATCAACAAATACCACCCAACTGAAATGTAACTCCGACCTGCAGGTTATTCAGCGGCTCCATCTTCATGACAGGGCCCAAAGTGTTGAGAGGCAGGGAGACATCAATGCTCTGGTTTGGCATCAGTGGTGTATGAATGGCCAGGGGAGTGCTGGGGATGACGCCAAAGCTGCGACAGAGGAGGAAACACCGAAGTCAGAGACAGGACTGAGCCACAGGCTCTTCCCTTTCTTTATACGAAGCATAAACACAGTTAACCTGAAAGATTATCAGCAATCAAGGTGTTCCATTCCAACAATAATGTAAGCTATATGATTAGTGAGAAAGATGACTCTGGACACTGGAACAGCTCAGACTTTGTATTTAAAAGAAAAGGTCATAAACTCTAAGTTATACAATGACCTCTGTTTTCTACTGAATGGATTTGAAGAGGCAGGAAACATTCCTAAGCACGGACTGCTTTTGCTAATGCTATCATTCTGAAAGCTTCTTTTATTTATTTATTTATTTTGTTACTAGAGGAACATGTTTATTGAGTATCTTACAAATAAATCTTTAGATAATCCTTGGAAAAAAAAAGACTTAGGAAGTTTCACTTCACAAAAAAAGTACAATAAACTGATATTTATTTCATTAACTTGATAACCTGTCTAATCCATCCAGAGGATTATTAATTCATAACTTCCGTTTTCTTTCTGTTCAGTTCATTTACATGTGTCACAATCCCTGGAAAGAAAAAAGCTAGTCCTGGCAAACAAGAATTGATTGGTTTATGCATTCCAAATGATTAGGGTAATTTGCAGACCCAAATATAGCCACTTTCTAAACCTAAGGCAGGCAGGGAATATGCACCAGTTTAACTTCTCAATGAAAGACTGTATGAGAATGATGAAAAATGAGAAACTCAGCCCGAGTTTGAAGTTAACGACAGAAAAATAAAAAGCATGTGGGAGGGTTAACAATCTGAGAATTACAGTAAAACTGGGGGATCATCGTGTCTCAAAGTAATTCTCCACTTTCCAGTGCTGGCATCCCATATGGGTACCGGTTCAAGTCCCAGCTGCTCTACTTCCAATCCAGCTCCTTGCTTGTTATCTGGCAAGGTAGCTGAGGACGGCTCAGGCCCTCAGGACCCTTCACCCACATGGGAGACACAGAGGAGGCTCCTAACTTCTGGCTTCAGATTTGGTCAGCTCCAGCCATTGTGACCATTTGGGGAATGAATCAGTGGATGGAAGATCTTTCTCTCTCTCCCCTTCTCCCTGTAAATATATCTTTCTAATAAAAATAATAAAGAAAATCTTAAAAGAAAAAAGAATAGAAATAAGGAAAAATGAGCTGAGGAGCAAAAACAAATACATGGTACAAATTAACATTAAAAATGTATGTTCTAAATAGAAGATGGAACTATGATTCTTATAAAGAGTTTAAATAAAAAGTATCTCTTTTTGAAGAATCAGAATAGAAAAAAAAAAACCCACAAAAAACCACCCAGCTTTCTTAGAGTAGCAAGATTCTGAGAATTCATATCTCCCATTCCAGAGTACCACTGATAGGTCAAAACCTCATTTTGCTCTTTTGATCTTTTTCTCATGGTCAGCAAATCTCCATCACAGGTCAGTGTTGCGTTAGAACCATGGAAATAGCATAGCTTGCTCTCTTGTTGCTGATTTTCTTAGAAATAATGTATAGGAAACAGAGAAAGGGGGAAAAAATCCTCACAAATCCACAATTTCCCTTAAAAGAGAGAAAGGAAAGAGACTAACAGGTTAAATACACTTAAGACACTTAACCAACTATACTGAACAGAAACCTTATGCAAAAATCTGAAAACTGATGATATTTACTGCTAGAAAAGAATCTGACTATATCCAAAAAGAAACAGAGAAAAGTAGCTTTTATAAAAATCAGATAAATTCATAATCAGAAATAACAAAAAAGAAAATCAACAGAATAAATTGTAAGTTTAAATACATTTAACTTTGAAATTTTTCTTGTCATATATATATTTTAGATTTATTTATTTTCATTGGAAATTCAGATTTATAGAGAGAAGGAGAGACAGAAAGATCTTCTATCCACTGGTTCACTCCCCACTTGGCCGAAACAGTTGGAGTTGAGCTGATTCAAAGCCAAGAGCCAGGAACTTCTTCCAGGTCTCTCATGCAGGAGCAGGGTCCCAAGTCCTTGGGCCATCCTCGACTGCTTTCCCAGGCCACAGGCAGGGAGCTGGATGGGAAGTGGAGCAGCTGGGATACAAACTGGCACCCATATGGGATCCCGACGATGCATGCGAGGTGAGGATTTCAACTACTAGGCTATTGTACCAGGCCCCTGAAAATTTTCTTTAGTTAAGATTCCAAAGCACATATTGAAGGACGCATCTTACTCAAGGAAAAGCTGATCTTAACTGGCCAACACTAAGAATATCCTGGCAAAATTACTGGACGTTACAACTGTGGGCAGCCAGACAAAAAACTTACAAGAGGGAAAATTGGGCTAACAACTGACTTTTCCGAAGTAATATCAAATGATAAAAGACATTGGGAAAAAATACTTCAAGAATTTGTGAATTTTCAAATATAAAGGTCAGAGTTTTGACAATGTAAGAAGACTCAAGGAATATTGTTTACCTGAGTCCCTTTTAAGAGACTGTCAGAGGACACCTAAGAAAGAAATGATAAATAGAATTGGTGCGGTGGCAGTAATCTTCAACCCTGTGGGTGCCTACATCCTATATGGGGGTTGGCTCTTGTCCTGGTTGCTCTATTTGGATCCAGTTCCCTGCTTATGGCTTGGGAAAGAAGTGTAGGATGGCCTAAGCCTTGGGAGCCTGCATCCATGTGGGAGACCCAAAAGAAGCTCCAGGCTTCTGGCTTCGGGTCAGCTCAGCTCTGGCCTTTGCAACCATTTGAAGAGTGAACCAGTAGATGGGAGATCTCTGTAAAATCTGTCATTCAAATAAAAACAAATAAATCTTTCAAGGGAATATTTCTTGTTAAAAACAGGAAAAAAAAACATGACAGCGAAAGCTTAATTCAAGGACAGGTAGTTAGTATAAATCCCACACAAAACAAGATGAGGCAAAGGTGAAATGAAATGTAGAAATGGAACAATTACAAAAAATAGAAAGAAAAGGGTCAAGAGAAAGACATGGCTGGAGCAGAAAGATGTCTCTCCTTCTCTGTATAAATCTGACTTTCCAATAACATTAAAAATCTTAAAAAAAGAACAGAACATTTTGTACAACACTTTATGGAGTCAACTCTTATTTTTCAGATAATTTCATGTTTGTTTTAAGGATTTCATTTTATTTTTATTGGAAAGGCAGATTTACAGAGAGAAGGAGCTACAGAGGGAAATACCTTACATCTGTTGGTTCACTCCCCAAGTGGCTGCCAACAGCCAGAGCTGAGCTGATCCGAAGCCAGGAGCCTGGAGCTTCTTTTGGGTCTCCCACATGGGTACAGAGTCCCACGGCTTTGGGCTATCCTCGACTGCTTTCCCAGGCCACAACCATGGGGCTGGATGGGAAGTGGAGCAGCCAGGACACAAATGGGCTCCCACATGGAATCTCGGTGCTTGCAAGGCAAGGATTTAGTCACTGAGTCATCACGCCATGCTCACTCTTCAGGTAATTCATAATCAGTTATTTTTGGTATCCTTTTCGAGTTAACGGGGCAAGCGCTGTGGGGCAGTGGATTAGATCACCACTTGGGATGTCTGCAACTCATTTATCTGAGTGTCCAGGTTTGAGTCCAACCTCCCCCAATTCTGCTTTTTGCTGGTGAGCACCAAGAGGAGGGAGATGACAGCTTGGGTACTGACAGTAACACAGCAGACCCACACTGGAGTTCCTGGGGATCAAGTCCTGGCACCACTTCTGACTCTGGCCCCTCCTAATATATACCTGGGAACCTGCCACCAGTGGAAGACCTGGACTGAGTTCATGGCTCCTGGCTCAGATCTAGCTACTGTAGACATTGGGGTAGTGAATCAGGACAGGAAATCTCTGCCTCATCCTTCTGTCTTTCAAATAAATTAAAAAAAAATCTGTTTTTCAGCTTTAAGTGGAATTAGAAGACAAGCTTGTTCTTATCAAATTTCTAAATTTCTAAGTGCTCTTTTTCTTAGTCAGCCTCATGTAACTGGGAAAAAAAAATGGGACAGGTAAAATATTCTTTGGATCATGTTCAAAGCCTATTAACACTGTACCTAAAATAATAGGTCATTTTGGCTCACCTATTTTCCAAAATAGCAATTTCTAAGCTAAGGATATTTTGAGGCAGGCTTTGAGCATTCTTACATTTCTTTTTAGACTGTAAGCTCAAAACAGGAAACTATATAGATAACTGTATTTTGTATACAGCAACCACTGCTGCAAACTTTTGATGTTTAATAACTGATAATTTTTAAAAAATTTGAATTTATCACACAGAGCCCTGAAGCCACATAACTGACGTAATATGTGTAAGCACACTCTGTCACCTCCAACGATTTCCAAAGCCCTCATCCCTCCACAGCATTCCTGCTTGAACACTGCTCACCTCACATCTTCTTCCTGCACTTTAAGTAATCTACAAAAGATGTAATGTATCTAAGAAGATGTGCACAGCTCATACGTGCTATTTTACATACGCGTCTTCAGCACAGTCAAGGGATTGCTATCCATAACCTATGTTGGAACCATTTCTACACAGAACCCAAGGAACAGTTATAATACTGAGTTACGTAATGGCAGAGAGAAAGATGATGTGAGTTAGAGTAGAAAACTACAGAATATTAGAGCGGTATTCCCTGTGGTGCCATCCCATATGAAAACCAGTATGAGGCCCAGCTGCTCCATTTCTGATCCATCTCTCAGCTAATTTACCGGGAAAACAGCAGAAGGTGGCCCAGTTACCTGGGCTTCTGCCACCCATGTGGGACCCTGGAAGAAGTCCTGGATTCCGGCTTTGGCTTGACACAGGCTGTACATTGCTACCATTTGGACAGTGACCCAACAGATGGCAAACCTCTCTCTCCCTTTTTCTCTGTAAGTCTGCCTTTCAAACAAATATATAAATATTAAAAAAAAAAAAAAAACCCCACAAACAATAGACTATTGATAGAAAGCAAAGATTAATCTTATTTTATAAAAAAAGTAATACAATTATTGAAAGAATATATAAACTTGTCTTAGAAAAAAAAACAAAGGCGGATAGAGATGAATGTAACTATGCAGCTTTCCTTTATTACAACAATTTTCCCTAATAACTTGGCCTTTTTGTTTTAAAGATTTATTTATTATAACTGGAAAGGCAGATACACAGAGAGAAAGATCTTTTATCCACTGGTTCACTCCTTAAGTAGTCACAGAAGCAAGAGCTAAGGAAATTTGAAATCAGGAGCCAGGAACCTCTTCTGGGTCTCCCACGTGGGTTCAGGGTCCCGAGGTTTTGGGTCAGCTTCTACTGCTTTCCCAGGCCACAAGCAGGGAGCTGGATGGGAAGTGGAGCTGTCATATGAGATCCTGACAGATGTAAGGCAAGCACTTCAGCCACTAGGCTATTGCGTCAGGCCCTGGATTTTTTTTTTGTACTTTTTTCTCAACAGCTTTAGCCATTAATAGAGCTAGATCTCCCTAAATGGCTAGAAATATAACTAGTTATTAAAATAAACATAGATTTTCTAATTATTTAAATGATTTCTAATGTGCCAAACTCAAATTCAGGGTATAAAAGCTTTGCCAAATGACTAAAAATAAATTAGTGATTGATGCAAACTGTCACTGACCAATCTTATTGAATCTGCTTTAAAGGTCCAATTACTACTTTGTCACAAGCAAGACTAACTATCTTCTATGTACAAATGAATGGACCTTCCATTAAATAGTCTAGCAGCCAGTTTCCTGACCAATAAAATTTAATAAAAACCATTGATGTTTACAAAAGATATAAACAGTTTACAACTTAGTGCTCTCTTTCTTGTTAAGGCTGAAAATTCACAGCTAAAAGCAGAATGCTAGCCTATATGTGATTGTTTAATTAATGTATAAATATTGGCTGTTTTTCATTTTTTAAAGATTTATTTATTTCTATTGGAAAGTCCAATATACAGAGAGGAAGAGAGACAGAGAGGAAGATCTTCCATCCGATGATTCACTCCCCAAGTGAGCCACAATGACCTGAGCTAAGCTAATCCAAAGCCAGGAGCTCAGAGTGTCCCCTGGGTCTCCCATGCGGGTGCAGGGACCCAAGGCTTTGGGCCGTCCTCCACTGCTTTCCCAGACCATATGCAGGGAGCTAGACTGGAAATGTAGCAGCTGGGACATGAACTGGTGTGCATATGGGATGCTTCTGGTAAAATAGGCAGAGATTTAGCCTACAATGCCACGGAGCTGGCCCCTTAAGTGTATTTTATTTTTAAAGTTTAGGGGTCTGGCATGATGGCCTAGTGGCCAAGCCTTTGCCATGCAGCTGCCGGAATCCCCTCTGGGTACTGGTTTATGTTCCAAATGTTCCTCTTCCCATCCAGCTTTCTGCTTGTGGCCAGGGAAAGCAGTCAAGGACGGCCCAAAGCCTTGGGACTCTGCACCAGCATGAAGGACAAGAAAGAAGCTCCTGGCTCTAGGCTTCAGATTGGCTCAGCTCCAGCCACTGCAGCCATTTGGGACTGAATCAGTAGAGAGAAGATATTTCCCTCTGTCTCTCCTTTCTGTAAACCTGCCTTTCCAATAAAAAAAAAATTAATTCTTAAAAAAATAAAATAATTTATTTGAGGGGCCGAAACAGTGGTGTGAGTAAGGTGCTGCCTATAAGCTGGCACTCCATAGGGGTGCCAGTGCACAGGAGCAACTCTGTCTTTGATTCTCAAGTAGAATTCTAGTCAAGATTTATAAGAAGACAATAGTAGGGCCTAGCATCATGGCTCAGTGGCTTGATCCTCGCCTCACAAGTGCTAGGATGCCATACGGGTACCAGTTTGTGTCCTGGCTGCTCTATTTCTCACCCAGCTACCTGCTTGTGGCCTGGGAAGGTGGTGGAAAACAGCCCAAAGTCTTGGGACCCTGTACCATGTGGAAGACTCAGGGGAGGCTCCTGATTTCCAGCTTCAGATCAGCTCAGCTCTGGCTACTGCAGTGGATAGTGAGTTTTTCTCTCTGTAAATGTGGCTAATTAAATAAATGAATCTTAAAAAGAAAAAAAAAAGACAACAGTAATGTTTTGCCTCCTTCCATGTGGAAAAGTTCCCTTCCTCGCAAATCTCAAGGGCTTCCAGAGTTGAGCACAACTGAGCAGACTTGGAAGAACCAGGGATCCCCACATACTCAGCATGTCCCAACATCTGAGTTTTTGTGCACTACTAAATTGAACATTCTTTAATGGACACAAGGTGTGCTGTGCTCTGTGTATCAAGCTAGTGACTCAGATTACTTACCTATTCTTGTTAAACTGGATTGCAAAGTCTGTCATATGCTGTAGAGCTTTATTGGTGAAGTTCATTTCCATATAGATGTGCCCTTGACGGTGAGTGAATGTTCCTGAAATTTCCAGTCCTTTAGCCTTTACTGCAGGTAGCCAGACCTGAAAGACAGTAAAACCAAGTAAGACCTAAAGATAAAATTAATATCTTACTTCTTTACCAGTTATATTTTATAAAACACATTTTATTTACTTATTTTTAGAATAAATTTTAATAAAAGTTTTTTTCCTCTTAGGCTTTTTGCTTTTAATTTTTAGTTTCATTGGGAGTCGATCTGTGATCTCGAGGCAGAGATACAGAATGCATTGCATCCTAACCTCTGGATATGATGGTCTTCAATACATACTTATTATGTATTGAAATCAAAAGCTACAAAACAAAATCAGCAAAAGGAGGAAAAACAGAAATTTACAACATCATTAAGTTAAATAACATGCTACTGAATGACTGATGTGTTGCTGAAGAAATGAAAAAGAAAGTCAAGAACCTTCTTGAAGCAAATGATGTTACTGTATGACCTATGAGTCAGTCAGCAATTTAATATGAAAAAAAATGTTTTGAAGAAATGAAAAGAGCAAAACCATCAACATCCACAATATAGTTTCCATGGATCTTTGTTTGATATGTTTTGTTTTTTGATTCAGTCTATTAATTTATGATGTTCGATCGATGGGTTTAAGCCATTTATACTCAGGGTTATTATGAATAGGTGTTAATTTAGTCATGTCATTTTAGACATCTGTTGTTATTTTACTGGGATGTTGCTTACATCTGCCTTTGGTTTTGAAGGGTGCTTTAAAAAGTATCATTTGTAAGGCAGGTTTGGAAGAGGAGTATTCTTGGAGATTTTCTTTACTGTGGAAGAATTTTATTTCATTTTCAAAGACTAAGGAAAGCTTTGCTGCCAAAGCAGCCAGAGCTGCACCAATCCAAAGCAAGGAACCAGGAACCTCTTCAGGGTCTCCTGTGCCGGTGCAGGGTCCCAAGGCTTTGGGCTGTCCTCATCTACTTTCCTAAGCCACAAGCAGGGAGCTGGATGGGAAGCAGGGCTGCCAGGGTTAGAACCAGCACCAATATGGGATCCTGGCACATGTTAAGGTGAGGATTTTAGCTGCTAGGCTACCACTCTGGGCCCAGGACAGGCAAGTATTTGCCCGAGCTAACCTCCTTGAACTCCTGGTAAACTCCCCTTCCCATCTGGCTGGTGGTGGGGCTCCAGCCACCAGTCGAGCTCAGATCATTTCTTGCTGACTGCCGCTGGAGTATCTGATCATTGCAACACTTCACCTTTGTCACCGCTACTTTCCCATATGCTTCAGATTCCAGGAGCCCCTCAGCCTTCAGCTGTCTTCTAGCTCCTGGAATGTGTCCTCTCTGCTTTACCCTGGCTTATGATGCTCCATCTGTTTAAATGTGTCCTTACCCTATTCCGCCATCTTGATTCTCCTAATAAAACTATTTTTTAAAAAAAGATTTATTTTATTGTTAGTTGAAAGGCAGAGAGAAGGAGAGCCAGAGAGTGAAAGACACATCTTCTATCTGCTGGTTCACTCACCAAATGGCCCATTCAATTTTTTTTTTTACTGGAAAGTCAGGTTTACAGAGAAAAGCAGAGACATAGAGAAAGATTTTCCATCTACTGCAATGGCCAGAGCTAAGCTGATCTGAAGTCAGAAGCCCAGAGCTTCTTCTGGGCCTCCCATGTAGCTGCAGGATCTCAAGTCTTTGTGCTATCTTCTACTGCTTTCCTAGGCCACAAACAGGGAGCTAGAAGGGAAATTGAGCAGCTAGGATACAAATTGGTGCCCATATGGGATCCTAGTGCATGCAAGGCAAGAACTTTAGCCCTAGGCCTCTGTGCTGGGTCCCATGGTGATTTTTATAGATGTATAAATTCTATGCCAAGGCTAAGGATAAAGTTGCATTTTAACAAATTTTGAGGTCATTTTCAATTATTTACATAATTTATGAAAAAAATCTCTGGCTTTGATTCAATTCTGTCATTTTATTGCTTTTGAGTACTGCCACCAAGAATATATATATAAGGAAATAAATCTCAGTAAATACAATGTCTTTATTAGCTTTACAGAAGGTTTGTTGGGGGCCGGGCAGTAATATGATACAGTGAGTAAAGCTTTTTACTGAGATACACACCACCCCATTTGAGCGCTGTTAAGAGTTCTGGCTGTTCCACTTCCAATCCAGCTGCCTGCTAATATACCTGGAAAAGCAATGAAATATGGCTCAAGTACTTATGCCCCTGCACCCATGCGGGAGACCCAGAAGAAGCTAATGGCTTCAGGTTGGCCCAGCCCCAGCCACTGTGGATACCTGGAGAATGAACCAGTAAAGAGATCTGCTACATTCCCCCCACCATGTAACTCTCTTAGATAAATTTTATTTGAAAGGGTTACAGAGTGAGAGGAAAAGACAAATCTTTCACTTGCTAGTTCATTCTCCCAACAGCCACAGCAGTCACAGCTGGGCCAGTACAAAGCTGGGGGGCCAGGAGCTTCTTCTGGGTCTCTTATGTGGGTGCAAGAGCCCAAGTATTTGAGTCATCCTCTGCTGCCCTCCCAGGCACATTAGCAGGGAACTGGATCAGAAGTGGAGCAATGAAGACATGAACTGGACGCCTATGGGACGCTGGTGCTGTAGGCAGAGGATTAGTCACAACCATAGTGCCATCCCCCACTCTCCAATGTTTTTTGTAAAATATTTATTTATTCGTATTGGAAAGGCAGATTTACAGAGCAAGATCTACTGGTTCACTCCCCAAGGAGCCAAAATGGCCAGAGCTGAGCCAATCCAAAGCTAGGACCCAGAGGCCTCTTCTGGGTCTCCCACAAGGGTGCTGGGTCGCAAGGCTCTGGTCCATCCTTTACTGCCTTCCCAGTCACAAGCAGGGAGCTGAGTGGGAAGTGGAGCAGCTGGGACATGAACTGGTGTCCATTTGGTATCCCTGCACTTGCAGGGGACTGAGCTATCATGCCAGCTGCCTCCTCTCTCCAAAGGAGTTTTACAGGGAAGAAACAATAAAAATGGTATTCTTATAGTTTTTAAAGATTTTCATCTTAATTAAATCCATTATCAGTAATTTCTTTTAGGGCAAGGCCCATGTCTCTAACTCTTGCTACAATTCCTGGTAAATATTTAGGTGCTGCTTAACATTCACTGTAACTGAATCATTTCCTACCCCTGACATCAGATCCATGACCATGTTAGCCTGTCCCAGTTCACACAATTGCAAAATATAGTTGGTTTTTTTTTTTTAAGATTTATTTATTGGAAAGTCAGACATACAGAGAGGAGGAGAGACAGAGAGGAAGATCCTCCGTCCGATGATTCACTACCCAAGTGAGTGCAACAGCCGATGATGTGCCGATCCGAAGCCAGGAGCCAGGAACCTCTTCCAGGTCTCCCATGCGGGTGCAAGGTCCCAAAGCTTTGGGCCATCCTCGACTGCCTCCCCAGGCCACAAGCAAGGAGCTGGTTGGGAATTGGAGCTGCCGGGATCAGAACCAGCGCTCATATGGGATCCCGGCACATTCAAGGTAAGGACTTCAGCCGCCAGACCACGCCGCTGGGCCCAAAATATAGTTTTTTAAAATCAGGAAAATTATGCATGATTCTCACCATATAACAGAAGATACCAAAGAAACTTGTGGGTGTTGAGTAATCATACTCAGCCACGCTAAGCAAACAAACAAAATAAATCAAACAATCACAAAATACTTTTTTGGGTCCAGTGTTGTGTAAAGGCACTGCCTGCAGTACCAGTATCCTCCATGGTGCCAATGAGAGTCCTGGCTATTTGTCTTCCAGCCCAGCTTCCTGCTAATGCATGGAGCAAAAGTGGCAAAAGATGGCCCGAGTGCTTGGGTCACCCACATGGGAAACCTGTTTGAAGCTCATAGCACCAGGCTCGCCCAGCCTTGCCTATTGCTGCCATTGGGGAGTGAGACACTAGACTGAAATCTCCCTCTTCTTTCACATAAACAATTTTTTTAATATACTTTTTAAAGAGCATATGAGAAAGTTAACAATGACTATATATGGAGAAGAAGGAGCGGGGACAATTTAATTTCCCATGTTGTATTTCTATATATTTAAATTGGCCACCTGTATGTGTTAGTTTTATGTTAGCAAATGAGTACATCAGATAACCTGATAGTTAATAATGTAATGGCTGCAGGGATAATATCCAACATAGTAAAGCCTATGACGAAACTACGGAGTTGCACCAAAACTCCATGGCTTAGTTTTGAATCACATTTCTGATTACCCTATACATTAAGTTATGACTCTTAAAGTGTACAACTGCTTTACAGCAGGAATTGCATACAAGAAGTCAGATGAATAGGTACAGAATTCAGGTGCTCCTCAGAAAGGCCAACAGTATATGAAGTGAAACCCAGCCTAGCTGGCATGACACTATTCCCAAGGTTTTAGGTCAGATTCACTAACTGTGAGGTTCTCCTTTTGTATTTTAAGCGAGGTTGAGACTGGAAGAATCCCAGCAACACAAACCTAAATCAGAACTCTGAAAAGATACACTAAAATCATGAAAACCAAACTGTAGCAGTGGCACTCAAGAATGCACATGTGATGTAACGGCAAAGAGGAGCAGAAGGGAGAAACTCAAGATGCAGCCTGACCTGCCCTGCAGTCTCCCCGAGGGAGGACGGACAGCAGGCCCCACCAGACCGACTGCAAGGTTGACAATCTAAACAATGTTTCTAAACGTGAGAGTGAAAGTCAAATTCTCCTAGTTTTCTTAAAGTTTAATTGTAAAAATATTTAACAAGGATGTTAACAGTGCTTCTTATTGCTGAGTTTGGAGCCACAGTTTTCATCTTCCTCTTAAATCCTTCAGAACAAGGGCCTAAAACCTAGACCTATTATCGCTGGAATAATAAACAATCATTTTTTTCCCACATAAATGTTTGAAATGAAGAAATCTGCACAGCATCCACTAACACAGTTTTGCCACGTTACTCTACTTACAGCTTTGGGAGCCACATATCCACCAGGCGCCATGCCTATCCCTGTGGAGAGTTCAAACAGGTCATTCAGACCACTGCTGACCACGGCAGGAGTGGGTGAAGGAGCAAAGGTTGCAGGCACTGAGGAGGGGATGAAGGATTGTCCCACCTACAGGAGAAAGGGGAGGGGAACATCAGGAAGAATAGATTAAATAGTCCTCAAAATCATGTGATACGGTTTAACTAGCAATAAGGCAACATGAAAACACCATAATTAGAATAGTCAGAGGAGCTGAATTAGAATCTTCTCTTTTAATCAGCATAATTATTTCTTCATCAATGATAAGATATACATACACCTCAGAGGCCTTCTCAGGAGACTACTTAGGAGGACACAGGAACACAATGAATCAAGACTTTGCCTATTTGTTTCCAATTTTAGCTTCCATGATTCTGTGCAAAAAGGCGTAGAGATACCTTGGCAAATGGGAAGTTTGTTTCTCTAGGAGGGAGAAGCTTCCACCTTAAGCAGCTCCATTTCCAAGGGGTTTCAGGCAAGTTCCCATTTAGGTAAAAATATTTAGTGGGAGGCTTTTCTTGGGGAGATGATATCCACACACCCCCAAACTAACTCACAACGAGGAGACTTCCACTTTGAATCAATTGACTCAAGCTCTTCCTTGAAGATACCAGGGTGTGAAAGCATGCTCAAGATGGAAGGTTCCCTTGCCTTTAGATCCTTAATGTCAGAAAGAAAGATCTCTTTAGGTAGCAGAGCACCAGTCCCTTACGATGTTCCTACACCATGTGCAGTTCCTGACCCCAGCAGAGTCCAAGTAGCCCTACCCTGCTTGCTACTCCTCACAACCTGCCAGAGGTTCTGGTGTGCAGAGCTAGAGAGCAGCAATGGCTGGTCTGATAATGTGGGCATAGGAAAGGCATCAAACAAGGGGCAGTGCTTCCCATGGTGAAACAAACAGATGGCACTTACTGCCGGACTTCCTCCAATGCCCCCGCCAAGGTCACTGCCAAGCTGAAAGAGAGAAAGGAGAGAGAGGAGAGAAAGGTAGAGTTCATTTAGCTAAGTACTAGATGCCCATATAGAATCTACAAATTGCTCTACCAAGTTGCTGGGTATACATGCCACTCAACTTGTCTCCCCAAGCCTAAAGAAATTTCAGACTATAAAGAAAAATGTCTTTGGGGAACTAAGTGGTGGTAGCAATTGTGTGGGGGAGTTCTGAGAACACTTGGAAAGGAGATGGAGCTGGGACATCTCAGGGATGTTTCAGATCCAAACTTTCCACCAGGGTAACATAGACACAAACTCAAACAGGATTTAAAGAGTTTATATATTCCAAGAAGCTCTGTCCCCAAGCAACAAAGTTTTGAAAAAATTTTTAAAAGGAAATTTAAGGAGGGGAAAAAAGGAAAAGCAAAGAAAAACTAAAATGTGCTTTGATCTCTAAAACTTGCTGCCCCACTGAGAAGGTGGTAACCAATCCAGTATTTCAAGCTTCAAAAATTACAGGTGGAGCAAAAATGGTTTTAAAATTGAGAATGTTCTTAGCAAAGAAAATAGCTGGGATAGGAAGACATCCTACCAGGGGTTGGGGGTGGGGAAGGTGGGAAGAGGCATGCAATGTTTCAAATTTCATCCACAGTCAATGTTACTAAGGAAAAGCGCTTGGATTTATTTGGGTCAATAATTTTCAAGGATGCTAAGCATCACACAGAACTAGACTAACAGAATTAGCTAGCTGCCAGGAAAATAATCCCCCATGGTCGTCTTCTCTCTATTTTCTTTGGACTCTGATAAATATATTTTACCCTGAAGTCAGTTTCCCATGACAAAAACATTAAAGAACTACAGCTGAAAACAGATGGCATGCAAGAAATGTAAAACACACATATATACAACCAATGACACTGTTAAAAAGCACAAACTGCCTTATTTTTCCTATAGTTGCACATTAGCTTCATCCCAAGTTTTCACCGTGCATCTTAAAACATCTCTCTGGATCATCAAATGACTTAAGGACTTGTTGGGAAAAAAGTTTAAATATTTTCCTTTACTGTCTGAGGGAATTTGGAAATCACTGTGCTGTGGCTATGCCAAAATAACAAAACCGTATTACATTTCAGGATTTAGGGAACAGGATTATCTATCGTCTCTATGAATAGACAGTAGTATGTAAAACAGCATTGGCAAAATCTGAAATTCAATCTACATTCAAAAATAGTGAAGCTTACAACAAACTTTCATTTCAAACATGACAGAAAAATAATCCTAGCAGGTGGCAGGTGTTTCGTAACTGGTGTTGGCAAGCATTCTCTGCACTAAACTACAGAGCACTGCAAACCAACATTCCAGAATATGGCTCCTGAAGATTACCCAATGTTTGATATGCTCAAAATAAATAAAAAGGTCATCCTAAGCAAGAATCTGAAAACCTGGAAAAGTGTGAAAGCAAACAGAAAGCAGAAAAGATATCACACAACTGTTTCCTCTCTAATTCTAGAACAGCACATCTGCAGCGTTACATTGGAGAAGCATGAAATTCCTTTTATTCAAACAAACATTCATATGACATTTAATGGATGAAAGGTATTAGGAAGAGGTAAAGAAAAGCAATGAGAGGATGACACAGATAACCAAGAACCAGACTTTTGCAACCTGGCAGGAGAAACACAACATAACGTGAAATTTCACAAGGTATGAGATTCTGAAGCAAAGAACCTCCTTCAGTTGAGGGTTAATACAGAGAAGCTTCCGGGGGAAATAGTGTGGGGTTACAATGGGAGGCATTTTTCACACAGTCTGAACAGACTGAAAATGTCAACAAATGCATGATCAGGAAAAAGCAGTCAAGAAAGGAACAAAGGGTGGGTATATGTGTCTGTTTTAAGCTGTGCCAAAGAAATTTGCAAACGCAGTGTGATATGGCAGCCTTTAATTTCCCTTTCATAAAACCTTTGAGGTTTCTGGTGCCAGCATAATGGCTCAGCAAGCAAATCCCCCACCTACAAATGCTGACACCCATATGGGTGCCAGTTCTAGGCTCAGCTGCTACGCTTCCAATCCAGCTTCCTGCTTGTGGCCTGCAAAAATAATGGAGGATGGCCTATGTCCTTGGGACCCTGTACCCACATAGGAACCTGGAAGAAGTTCCTGGCTTCTAGCTTCAGAAAGGCTCAACTCCAGCCATTGAAGTCATTTGGGTAGTGCACAAGCATTTGGGAGATCTCTCTCTCTCTTCATGCTTCTCTCTTTAAATTTGCTTTTCTAAATAAAATAATTAAATATCCCTCCCCTCCCAAAAGAGAAAGAGACAGACAAAATTCTTTATGGAACTGGTTAGCCCTCAATGGGAAGACAAAACACATACTTACTCACTCTCTCTCTCAAACCACGAAAGGAAATCATAGTTTCACAAAACAGTCTAAGAATAATAAAAAGCACAGAATAAAGGTATCCACTGATGATGTTTAAACCAAAGGAAATAAAACCCCTTTATTGCTTTCACTTCTTGGCATTTCATTGTTTTTATTTTGATTATTATCTTAGTTGGACAAGAACTGCCTACTGTCTCCCTTTATGATGCTTACTGATTTATTCAAAACTACAGAGAAACTCAAAAGTAATCCTGATATCCCCTTTTCCATTAAGTGTATCAGGTACAACTCGGCTAGAATCAAGAACTCTGGTCTGACACAGATAAGGTGTAATAGACTCATGTAGCCCACAATAAAAACTTCATCTAATTGTGCTGATTAAAAAAAAATTGCTTTGATGATGCATATATAGTTGATTAGGGTGGGAAGGGTCAAGGATTAGGGAAAAGTGGGTTTTCCAAATTTTCTTTTCCTCCTTCCTGTACACTGGCAAAACAGGGAGATAAGAGGAGAAGCTGCAGCCAGCCTCCCAACCGCCTTACTATCTAGGGACAGGAACGGCCACCCGCTGTCATGCCAGGGTCCCTGATACAGAGCATGCTCTAAGACTCTGCTCAAGTAGTTTCAATAGTTCTGAAATGCTGTCAATCTCGTCACTCTAAGGATAAGGAAATCTTTCCAAAATCCATTGGCTGACATAGTCCACCTTAAGAGTCTGCATTTGCCCAGATATTTGCAGTCAATGCTTGGTGTTTTTTGTTTTTAATTTACTTTATTTATCCAAAAAGTAGAGTTGCAAAGAGAGACAGGGAAAGGTCTTCCATCTGCTGGTTCCGTCCCAAACGACCAAAATAGCCAGAGTTGGGCCAGTACGAAGTTAGGAACTTCTTCCAGGTTTCCACAAGGATGCAGGGGCCAAAGCACTTTGTACATTAGTATGAATGCTGGATTGGATGTGGAGCAGCCAGGACTTGAACTGGGGCCCATATGGGATTCTGGCACTGTAGTCAGTAGCTTAACCTACTATGCCACAGCAGTGGCACCAATTTCAATGCTTTCGAACTAGCAAGACAATAACTTATTCAGACCATTCTGTATCTTCTCTCTTCACTGTAAAGCTACCAAGGGAACTTTCTCTGAGTTTGTGGCATAGTGACAGCACACTGTTGGGAGGGACTGACAATAAACAGAGGTCATTGAGGATGGAAGTCAACTTCCCACTGAGTGGCCTCGCCTCTCAATTATGATAAGCAGGATGAAGCACTCATTAAGTAAGAACAAAACGAAAACTGAACAAATAACTGGGAAAGTTGTTGTATATAAGGCTGAACTAGCCTCGACCATTACAGTTCAGATGCTGGTATTATTTAAAGTTTGTTTCATCAGTTTGGCAATATTCCAAGCCTACACTTAGCAGGTAGAATACAGAATCAACCAAACATTTCAAAACTTGTAAAATTCGGAGCAATTTTTGTTATCTGGTGAGCTAATAGGAGCCAGTAATGAAAAGGAATAATTATGCAGGGCATAAGTTTAATTTCAATCCTAGATGCCTAATTATTATTATTATTATTTAAGATTTATTTGTTTTCCTTGGAAAGGCAGATTTACAGAGAGATGGAGAAAGAGAGAAAGATCTTCTGTCCACTGGTTTACTGCCCAGGTGGCCACAAAGGCTGGAGTGGAGTTCATCCAAAGTTAGGAGCCAAGAGCTTCTTCTGGGTCTCCCACGTAGGTTCAGGGTCCCAAGGCTTTGGGGGCCATCTTCTACTACTTTCCCAGGTCATAAGCAGGGAGGGAAGTGGAGCAGCTAGGACATGAACTGGCATCCATATAAGATTCTGGTGCATACAAGGCAATAATTTAGCCACTAGGTTATTGTGCTGGGCCCTAAACACTATGTCTTAAATTTCTTACAGTTATCCACTTACTATTGTTCCCAGGGCTATCTAAATAAGCCAGTACAATTAAGGTTTAAAAAAGAAGGTGGCAGAGTGCAAACTTCAGGAAAAGTATTTTGAATGATGAAAATTGAACAGAATTTTCCTGAAGGTATCTTTGTTTTTTGTTAATCATGGTTTGGATTTTAGAAGGTACAGGGCATCTATTACATGAAGGCATGATTTTTAATTACTGGGAGCAAACTTAAATTTCATCTACAAAGAGCTGTTCAGAAAAGCATCATTAAAATAACTAAAGGAATTGCTGAAAAGATCCTGTAGCCGTAAAAGCTCTTAAAGTAGAAACAATATGAAAGCATACAAGAGTTAGGATCACACAAAAATAAGTAAAAAGTCTTCCATCAGAACAGTAGGGAGACAGAACAGTTAACTTCCCGATAAGAGACAGAATCTCCCTAGAGTGACTCCAGGCACTCTTAACGGTACTTACTACTCACTAAACAAACATGTATACCAGTTATCTTGGCTCAACAGAATGTAACAGAATGTATTTTGGTAACAACCATATTTCTAGTATACGGAACAGAGCTTGATGTATACTGAATAATTAAATAATTACTTAGCAAACCAATGAATGTTTTAGTAACCAGTTAAATAGGGCTACTGGCAGTATTTCTTGGGAGACAATTTTGAAGTGACTTTAGAAAACTATCACAAAAAGGAAAGAAATCTGCAA